CGTCTGTCTCTCCCGGCTTATGCCCCAGCGTTTTGTATGTGGGAACAAGTCACTGACAAACGATAGTGGCGCTTCCCGGTCAAATTCTTGCGCACCTTTGAGAAGCGTGAGTGGTGGTACGACGTTGAGACGGCTGGGTCATTGATGGCCACCACATGTAACTACACCAGGCGGTGCACATCACAAAAACCGGGTGTAGGTGCGATTTCCCGTTCTTGTCGGAGTCTCATTGTGCTAGCTGCGAGTGCCTGCGTGTTTGGCAGAGAATTTCCAGCATGTTAATTTCACTTCTCCCGTACTTTAAGAACGAGGTCCATTTGCAAGCAACACCGATGTCTTTCCGCTCGCGTAGGCAGGACGATTTGACACAGCCGCTGGTAGTACCATTCTGCAATAGTCATCCGACTTCGGCTCTCTGTCCCCGATGATGACGTCATAGCAGCTGTACAAAGTGTTAGATCGTCGGCGGCGTGTGACGCGGCGTGTTCGCTGCGGTTTATGAGACAAGATTATTTGATTTTCTGATGCACTGATTGCCCAGGCATCTTTTGTAACGTCGCACACTACAAATCCTAGTCTCGCGGATTTGTTCCGGAGGGTTTGTGTGGAAACCATCAAAAGGCTAGCTGTGGTAGCATCAAAAGACGCTGCAGGGGGTTTGCATGATAGCCATCAAAATGTGTACCTCACTTCGAACTCTCACTAGCCGGGACAGCTCTTATTAACATCGAGTTCCTTACCGCTTGGTTGCTAATTAAGCTGCTGCTTCACGTGGAAAAACTACGCTCTGTTTCTTTAAACTCTGAATTTACATGACGGGATGTTAAGCAATAATACATTTTTAGGTAACAGGAAACTGAATAAAGTTATCAAGCTGGCAGTTTATCTGTTTGAGGGTATTACCGTACCAGCCTAAAGCAAGCATGAAATAACAAACCAGATACAGTGGACGGTCAACTGTTCAAGGAATTTTGGAGTACCTTCGACTGTCAAAGGCAGTTTGTGTTCCCATGTCAGGGCCATGCAGGTAAGGGCTGCCAAGATAGTGTGTCGCTGATCCGGTATTTGCATACGGCACGAATGATCATGAGTTCTAGGCCCTTTTAGGAAATGGTTTACTTTCAATTACCTGGGATACATTATCGTACAGTCCAGCCAAGTCGGAGGCAAAGCAAGTGCCACGGTATTTGTTCCGAACATATGAATATTTCAGACTTATTTACAGGCTTGCAACATGATACCAATGGCTTATGCAAACTGTGTCCACCTACGACATGCATTTGCTCTTACCGTTTTTATCCTCCTCGTTGTTGCTCAGTTCAGGTAATGTCAAATCAGAAATCGCGGCGATTGGCATGCATAGATATGTGAACTGCATGTTTACCAATTCGAATAACAAATCACGCTGGCTGTGATCTGAGCTGGTGTAATATCAGTTGAGACAGCGGATGTTTTCTGACCTCAAAGGGTCTGACCTCAAAAACCATTTCAGGTTGAATACGTCATGTGATCAGTAAATTTGCATCACTACAGGCCGCCGCCTTTCCACCTCGCATTCACTGCAGGCAGCGCAGAGTCGACTCTCTCGAGTGTAATCCTTCTGTGTCACCTGTACCTGTCAAAACGAGCTCATAAATCGGTACAAATGGTTGTGCCCTAGTTACGTGTAGTGTTCTCCCATTACAGTGGAGTTATAGCAAAGGGCCTTGCCCCCCCCCCCCCCCCACGATTGTCTCGGCCTCTGCAGCGTTTGACCTAAATCGCCAAATACTTGTCCAAAAACACCAACAAAGGCAAACCTCTCACGCTTTCGGGAACTTTAACTCTGACCACCTCAAATCTATGTTGTAAGGCTCCGCTTACAAAGTCACATTTTTTCGGAAGAAATAAGCGTCGAAGGATGGTCCAGCCATTCCAAGCCCCAAAGAGCTCTTGACATGGCCCGCGATTTCTGGTCAGCTTGAAAAGATGGCTGCGAACGGCCTGCACGAAGCCTCATTCTCAGCGCTGATAACAGCTCCATGAAGATAGTTTAACGCACAACGGTTACCCGTAAAACGATGCTATCTAACATCTGCAATATGCGATACATGTATACTTACTTCGTCGAAACCTCATGGTAAGTTGGCATTGCCTTAAACGGTATGATATGCTGGCCCTGCTGCCATGGAAGTAATGCAAACTGAAGACACATGTGGTGCCCTAAAGGGTCACTAAAAGGTCCCAAGCAATCGCTTGTTCTCTTAGAATATCCAATGACATGGGTGTTAGGATATATTTTTAAGGTTATCTTTGCTTTAGGCGAGATTACTTTTTGTGACATAATTAGATTGTTGATTGAGCCGGACCAGTACACACAGACGCGGTGGCAACAAACAGCTTTGTTTGACGCGCACACAAACGTGTGTTCCCAATGGCAAAGGGTAATGCTATAGCGAGCCACCAGACCAGGCTATCAATGTGTGTTTTTAGTAGCCATCAGTGACACTTGCCGCTGCAAGAACGTCTTCCCGCCGCTTGTTAATCTTGGGTAGAAACAAAGGTGCCGGTAGCTTTGAAGGGTGGATGTTTCTGCACGGGCTTCAACAAACAACGTAGAGAACGGTGACGCATATTTAAAACACTTGCTGCCGGCCAGGCTTGCTCATCGTAATGGTTATGCAATCGCGGCCTTTGTCATCGGAGGGCAAATCCACAGCTGAAATAATAGCTAGTGACTGCATACGACAGTCAGCCATTAACGCCACACAGAATCAATTTTTGGTACATAACTTGCAGCAAGGATGCTGAAACTGCAGTACAATGCATTATGCGCTAGTAACACGATAGAACAACGTGCATTTGGTGCAGTTTCAAGCTATGTTTCTCTTCGACGAAAAAGAACGATAGAAAATGAAATTTTAGGGGAAAAGCGAATCCCTTCCAAGAGACTCATCCCCGTCAAGGACGAGCAAGTTCTCTGGACATCTCTGGCACACCGCTCCCCAATAATGTCTGGGGAGCCGAAAATCGAAACTACCAAAAGTTCTATATGTTCCATATTTATCATCACTCGTTCAATACACTCGCCATGGAAATCCAATCGAAATGCTGGCACGCCTTTTCTGTTCCCGGTAACATGTTAAGTATGAATCAAGATCGCACCCAAAGGAAACGTCATCGCAAATAATCATGATCGCATAGTAAATCAAGTCCACGCTCACACAGCAGGCATGGAAGGCGGCTGCACAGTGACAGGTGTGGACGGTGGAAGGTACAGGGCGTGCATCCCATCGCAGTTAATTGCTGTGTGCTTTTCCTGGCACGATAACGTAACTAACTGTGCACTTAAACCAATTTGCTTCACACCTCTTAGTTTAGTGATCGTGGGTGCTGTATAACCGAGCTGGTGAAGCGCCCTGCGCTAAATCATCATCCCTAAATCATTCCTTTCATTGCTTGGTAATCAGAGCATCTGCGCACCGGGCAAGCTGCGCAAGAAAAAACAATGAATGCATAACGCTGTCAAATATCGCCAGTGAACGCAACCATCCAAAAAGTTCAAGTTGTTTTGGTTAATAGGGTTGTTATATATTGTGCCGTTTCAGGACGCTAAGGAGGGATTTCTCAGCAGAAGGTCATATGAAAACAAAAGCATTCAGCTTCTGGATTCTTAGCATCATGAGTTTTTCTGTGGAAAATAGCCGACCTTCAATATATCGAGACCCTCTGGCTTGTGCGGCCGTGTAGAGCTGGCATGATTCATGAATGAACTTCACTTCATAAGGCAGGGTCTAACGTCACCAGTGTACAAAGCTGCACAAAAGTTAATATTACAAAACATGAGGTGCATACAGGAAGGAAATTGGTCTGGATCTGAGCAGACTCCACCAATGAAAAGATGCCAAGATGATCGATCAGTAATGCATCTCAGAATGAGGCACGATACATGGACCTCTGTAAAGAGCTGCACAACGGACGTCTAAGCCAGGAGGTCTCGATGACCATAACCGAATCTAAGGCCAGAAATGTACTTCTTTAAGCCACCAGTCATTCAGTCATTCCGGCTTCTACATGCTGACAACCGACACCCGGCACCATGCTTAAGGGCTACCTGAGAAACGGACGACTAGAAGGGTGTAACCAATGGCGACAGAGCAGACGATCAGCAAATAGGCATATGCTTCAAACTCCCGCGGTCCAGTGCGAGCTCCGTACGCATAACCCCGCATACAGTTGCTATTTTATCAAAAATAGCGGACTTTATTTCGTGTTGCCTACCTTAAGCTGCCGATCAGGGGGTATCCCGCAGCATCTCTCATGCTGCCAGCGTACCAGTCGTTTGTATAGTCAGCTTGTGAGGACGGCACATTTGCAAGCAGCACGCGCAGCCACTCAGCCTAGCAGCCGGACGCCCAGCCGCCGCGGGCAGGTCACTGGACGTCAGCAAGGTCATTCGCGGTTCAGGTGGCTAACAAGGCCGGAGTCTGGCCACCGGTACCCTGCTATCCTTTTGGGCTTGAACGGCTTGAACTCAGGGTCAACGACCGCCCGCAACTGATAAATAACAGAAATTGACACTCGCGCAGAGCAGTAAGTGGTCGTACTCTGGCAGTTTTGGGCAGGGCTGAGCCATGCCAGCTGAGTGTTTTATCTGAGCTGATAATTAGGGCCTGGTTAATGCCAGAATGAGCATCAAATCGCGAGTTAAGAGGCCACCACAGCAGCTCCAAAGTGCTGCTTTTACTCTGCCTGGGCCTGGCGGGCACTTGTGCAAGACTGTAGGCGTCCACCGGACGGGTTGGGGTAAGCCAAGATGATGCACAGTGACTAGGTCCAGCTCCGCCGGCAGCCGTCTCTGCCCAGCATAAGAACGCTGACCCCACAGCACGACACAGACACACACATACACACAGATACACACACACATACGCATGCAGAGGGGTGCCGGGACACAGGAGCGGGACCGGAGGCGTCAGAGCTGAGTGGCCGCGGTCTGCTCGGCCGGCAGGGCCACTGACCTGGCTTATCGCCGCAGGCGCTGAGCGGCGGACTGCCGCGGGCGCTGGCGGCCGAGTCGGGTGACGAGGCGCGCTCCTCGGCCAGCCGGGCCAGCAGAGCCGGCTCGGCCAGCGCCGGCCGCCGCGCCAGGATGTCGCCAATCATGAACGACGCACGCGGCCGCGTGCTCAGGTTCAGGCCCACCGCCGGCGCTGGCTCGCACGTCTCCACCACGCAGGCCTCCGGTCCGCAGCGCTCCGTCTCGCGGGACTCCTTCTCGCAGCGCTCCGTCTCGTAGGGCTGCGGCCCGCCGTGCTGCGGCCGCTCCGGCGAGGCCGACATGTCGCACGCGTCCGCCGCCGGCCGGCGTGCTGCCCCCACCGCGTGCGCCGCCGCCGCCGCCGCCGCCGCCGCTGCGCTCCGCCCGCCGTTCAGCGCCGCCGCCGTGTGCCGCGCGCTGCCATTCGGCCGCGGCGCCCACTTGTTCGCGGATGACAAAAGCGCCACTCGTGGCAATTTAGTGTAATCAAACAGAATGTTATGCCAATCGCGGCCGCCCGGCCGAGGGGCGGTGCTTACGGCCATATAGCACTCATCGATGCCGCCAGCCAATCAGCGTCGAGCCCGCCGGCCGGCCCAAGACGCAATGAGCGGCAGCCGGCGCCGGCCGCCGCCTTGTTTACATACGAGTTATAGCGCGGTGAAATGGAGCGGCCCGGGGCGGGGACGACGCGTGCGGCGCTCACTCGCAGCAGCGGTGGCCGGAGTGGCCGTCACGGCGGCGGTACGCTAGGAGGGGGGGGGGGGGGGGGGGGAGAGCAAGCTGTTTTGTTTCCGTCAGCGTCCTGACTGCGATGCCTTACGAAACCATGGAGGAAATTGGGGTCTTCCAATACAGGTGGGAGTAAGGGCACGGGTGGAAGGGGGGGAGGGGGGAGGCGGTTCGGGGCAGCAACCCTCAAACTTTGGTGGAGCTTGTACTTTCTCCTCCAAGTTGGATGATATATTCAACATCATGCGGCGGCGTAGTTCAACAAATTCAAGCATGTGGCGTTCGCCCCCCCCCCCCCTCACTTCGTGGGAGTTACGACCCTGCGTAAAGGCGAATCTACGCTGGAACCCGCTACCGCAGCCCATTTATGTTATGCTAATGGATAGCTTGGATCCTGCACAGTACAATGAAGTCTTGCAGACATCCCCTTATGGCAAGGCGTAGTTCAGGCCTGGACAACAACTACGCCTCGATCGATCTGTCCTATGTCCATGTCATAATCGATAGGATCTCTGTCATATGTCATGTCATTAGCGGTACAATCTCTCTCATATGTCATGTCATGATCGATGCGATCTCTGACATATGTCATGGCACGGTCGATATGGTCATTGTCACAATGTGCTATATATATATATATATATATATATATATATATGCATATATAGATATACGTGTATATAAGCATATATATATATATATATATATATATATATATATATATATATATATAACAACATCAGTTATGATGGTAAAAACAGTAAAAACAACAGTTGTAATGGTAAAACAGAAAGGAAGCAGCATAATGGAATACGCCACGGATGTTCTTAGGCTACCTGCCCCTCCTTTAATGACGACTTATTAGGCATACGTACGCACGCAAAATAATGCAGAAATGGTGAGTGGATTGGTACTGTACAGGTAGTACAATAACTTCCGAGCCATACAAACTTCGAAAAGTATCTGTATCCCGTCATGTTTGCTGATACCGTTCTTGTAAAATATAAATGCATCTAAAGCATCGTCATTCTTGATTTTTATTATGTGTTATGACTTGTTACAGACGACTGTTCCGTCTAAAAAAGCGATCAATTTTGACGTTAGTGATGTCGGATTTTGTTGTATGGGGTATCGGACCTGTATATATATATATATATATATATATATATATATATATATATATATATATGCATATATGTGATTTTATACGGCATTGGTGGCGCATGAACTGAAAAGGGTATTTGATAGCGATCCACCGCGTCAACATCATGCCGCCAAACATCATATACCAATGGCAGTGGATTTTTATAACGTTCCTGCGGTTGCGTGCGCTGTTTCCTGTATCAGATCGGAGCAGTCTGATTATTGAACAAGATGTTTGGAACGGACATAGTCTGTCATGCGTAAGAGCTACCAGGAATGCGGGAACTACGCACCTGGGGTTTGAGCTTACATAACTTTCTAAAAATTTAACGCTGGCCATAAGCGCAGTGATCAGGAATAAATGATCAAACATAGCTATCATTACTTTAATTTTTACATTACCATTCCGAAGGTGGGAAAGATTCCACCGCTACTTGGCTCGGCAGATAAATATCAGCGTGATATGGCGTGTAAGCGATTTACTTATTGTATATGGCTGCGATGTCGTGTGCATAACAGGAAGCTGCGGTTGCAATCCGTGTTTAGCACAGCTTGAGTGCGCTTGTGCAGCCTCGTTCTTCAAAACGTGGCATCTGTATTGTGAACACTCTTGCAACATAATGGAACACCTTGTGAACTCGTTAATCTGGCACAGTTTTCTCCCACAATTTGTGTGTACAAGTCAACAGAAACAGATCGTCACATTGAGCAATGTTGTGTATCGCGCTGTTGCCGTGGTTGTGCGGACATCGCGCAGTCGAGAGCATGTTGTCTCATAAATAACACGAAATCTTCTCGCCTATGCAGTTCTCAAACTGCGTACACATATGTCCATACGCTCTCTACGTCAGCAAATTCAATGCTCACATCTAACCCATGGTATCAAAGTTGCTTTTTCCTCTTGTCCCAGCGTTAGATTAGCTAATGATTCCAGCTCGGGTTTATCACTTATTTGACCCCGTATTTTACCATCGCTGGACGATGAGCCTGAAACATTTCCGTTGCTTTTTGTCTGACATCACTCTGCAATCACTCAACACATATCGCTGGCATTGTGGATGCCCCTATCAAACGTATGTCGTACAATGAATATAAAGATGGGCACAAAATTGACTGGCGTTATGAGTTCAATACTGAGTTGCCGACCTTAAGTATACCCGTAGTTCCGGTTAATTGACGTTACAGAGCAGACATTGGTTACGCTGACAACAGTCGATGTTTTAACCTGTGCTTAAGATCACGGATGCTCAAAAGCTCAGCTTGAAATGCCGAGTACCTTCAATTGAAACAACACTTATTCTTTAAAACCATTCATAACAATATATAACGCGAGTATTTCGCACTTTCCACCGTAATTCGTGCGCTACGTTTAATGTCACGATTAGATCACCATACATCGCGGGTGCCGTAAATAACTCGGTTTTGTGGGCTACTCTACCTATGGCAGAAAGGTTTCCTCTCCGATTGCATGCAGATAGAATCCTTTTCCATTCTACCAGTATATCATCAGGCGTTTAATAACACCACCTGCAAGGCAGCCTGCTGGTCCAATGCTTACATCTCGGGAGATGAAGAAGCCGAATCCCCCGTCCAGAACATTGCACGGAAAGAACGCATATTTTGACATACATTTGCATATAGGCACTCTCGACACTCTGCGGTTCCAGAATTTTCCATTGTATCGCCCTGTAACATCTATCTAGGCTGTTGACAACCCCGTATCTCGTTGACTGCCCTGGGAATTTGTTCCTTTTCGAAAACCCACCGCTTAACAAGATTCATTGGTGGTCCTGGTTAATGCGGTCCAACATCTGAAGTTACTAGAATTATACCTGCATTTCTTGTCTTTTGACTCAGTCCAACTGGCTGAAGCGCTAGGAAAGTTTCTGTGTCGTAGTACTCCCGTTCGGACATGGCACTTTTCTTCAATAGTGTGTGATCTCGCGCTTCCGAAACAGGACGCCGCGTACGTGCCAGCTGGACCGATGACTGCCACACGAGCCGGCCCTCGCCGCTCGACTGATGGGTGCAGCCGTCGGGCCCACTCCGACCCGCCGCTACGCACCGGCGCGATCCAAACTGCGGCAGTAGGGCCGGGGGCGTCGGCCGCGCGCCGCGCGACCGACGGGCGCCCGCGATAATGGAGCATTTGCTGCTGGAAGGTGTACCGGCCTGACAAACTATAGCCATTGCCTGATGGCTCCGCTGAGTGGGCTGCACAGTTACACTTACCGCAGGTGATCGATGCCCCGCTGGGATCTGCTGCAGTTGGACACTTTGCTGTCTGCTTCCGGAGGGTCTCATGCACGCGGCAATACACGTGCGGGGTGATGTGCTTTATTGATGTCTTGCAAGTGGCCGTGCCTCTACAACCGGCTTAAAGACGTGTAAATGCCCACGGCTTCAACAGAATTGTCCACTTATTGCATGTCAGGGTCGTGCCATTGATGTAAGTTGCTATTGTGTGTAAGTGGGCATGCAGCGACGGCCTGCCACTTCCTACAGTGCCACCGAACACGCCTGTATGGACTCTTCGCCAAGCGAGGCGCCTGGCTCGGCATTGAGCTCAGTAAATGGGATGTACTCCTTTAGGAGCGAGGACGCAGACCGACAGAATCTTGATTTCGTTTCACCGGTAGCATTGTAGCTTCAGTGGCCCGGCTCGATAATTCACTCTTCTGATGGGCGTATGTTTCTGCAGTCGCTGTGCTACTAACACGCAGTTTTGCCCAACAAGTGACGCAATTTATTTAAGAAAAGGTAGCACTCAGAAATCCAAAAATTCAGCGAAAAGGCTTAATAACACAAGTTGAAAGCAGACGCAGGTCCCAAGAGCCCGCTTGCACCGGCCACGGCAACAACGCATTCTGTCAGGGGAAACGACGGGTAGTCTTGTTGTAAAAGAGCAAGTCGATGTATTCAGCAAGTCACGCATCCGTGCGTGAACCATGGATCGGCAGCGTCGAGCGTTCTTAAGGACTAATATGAGATATCGGAGACTGGAGCGGACCACACCGTTAAACGAACTGCACTGAGCAGACACATGTGTCGTTTGCAAATCACGAAGCTGTGCTCTGGTGCACCGTCTAACCCATGTGGGTGCCAGGGGAAGGCCAGAATCAAGTGGTATTAATTTGTCTATCTCTTTTCACCTTTTCTAACTACCTTTCGTTTGTTTTAATCGCCCAGCACGTTTTCTAATGCGACGCACTGTAGCCCTGCTGACGGGAATTTGAAGATGAGGCTTACGAAATTAAAAAAACCGCAGTGGAGCGACATAAAACCAGGCTGTTTTACGGCTTCAACTCTTTGGCTACAAGTCACGAAAAATGTAGATAACTTCAAGCTTAAAAAGTGGTCAATTAAAGTTTCCGGACCTCGCCAGGCCAGAGAACAGTGAAACGTAAAGGAAATGTTCCTCGTTTGA